CCGTTTGCCATCACTAAGTATTTAATTTGTTAGCCAATTCCTTCACCTTAACGACATCAAGGAACGCTAGAAGGTTTAGATATTTTTTAAAATAATAGGTAACAATAAAATAGCACATAATATAAATATTTTGACATAAATAAACTTCATCGTAGCTTGCTTTAATTTGTGTCGTTAATGTCAAATATAAATTTCGTTTAAAAATCATAAAATATTTTAATTAAATTTACACTATTTTTTCCTTCCATTATTTAAATTAAATATAATATTTTTCATTTCCTGATATCTTACTTTTATTTTTTTCACCTCATTCATATATTCTAATAAAATTTATAATTAATAGTAAATTAATTAATTATACAATAGTTGCACTGTAAAAGGAGGTTAGGTTAGTGTTTGTAAACCTTGTAACCTATTGTTATGTATGTTTGTATGTCCGATCCTATGTTCCCTCGTAATCACTAACCTAATTTCGATTCGTCGATTTATTAATGTTTATATTTGCAACTATATGTATTAGAAAAGTATTTTTTAAATGCGAAAATAATATTTTAAGCTTTTTTAGTAGCTTTACAATTTTTATGCATATACACATGGGTACATAAATGTAATGTGAAGCGTGTGTAGTTTATACCTACTAATATTCGATTACTGTTATTTATAATGAATTGATTAAAATATATATCTAATTGAGAAACAACTTGACTATTACTTAATTTTGAAACCAAGCTCGTATATTTTCTTTTACAAAGTATGATGTTGATATGAATTAGAAAACCTTGTCAACATCTCATTGCTCGTAACTGTACCCACCTAATAGAATATGGAATATAGAGGTCATAAAATATCAATCTCATCGAAAATTTCTTTTAAAATGGAATAGAAGACAAATTTCGGGATTTAACTACGATGCTGCAGATAGACACACACTACACGTCTTATTAAACTTATGTAAGTTGAATATCAGTATCAGGGTAGGTATTTAGAGTCAACAATGAAATTAAAATATTCGTTAAACTAACCATACATATTTATACTTAATGCATAAGATAGTAGTATTAAAGTCCAGGAATCCGCAATTTCCCAATACAATAGACTTAGTTTTTTTTTCATCCAGACTTGTCAAAATTTGTTATATCAAAGCCTCTGAAAAAAGCCCACAGAGACAAGGAGTGGGCTTTTAAAAAGTCCTTAGCTGACACACAAGAAATAGTACAAGAAAAGAGAAAAAGAAGAAATATTTACAAAAAGAAATGAGATCCCATCAAAAACATACTGTAAAAAATTGCAAGTCTCGCAATGCATTACTTCTACCGCAAAAAGCTATGAGATATAATGTAAAACCAAGTCGGTTAATTTATTCATTACCTACCTATGGAAGCATCTATCCGACAACTTTGTCATAAATCGTTACCGAATTAGTTAAGTTACAACATTTTATAGTGACCGTATTAATATTAGATATATTTATTTCTTTAATTAATAGAATGACTTGGCCATCGCACATGATAATAGAACTTACAAATAACAAAATTTACCTAATGTTAGCGTTCTGAGTGCATTATTTATGTTAGTGTATGCATAAACTTGACCCGCTAGTGCTATGTTCAGTTCATCTCAGCCCAAACACGTCCACAGCTGGACATAGGCCTCCCCCAAAAATTTTCATGACAACCAGTCTTCCAACCATCCGCATCCAGTGGGCTCCAGCGACTTTGACCAAGTCGTCCGTCCACTTTGGTCATGGTATGTTTAATTAGGACTATTTAAAGTAGTAGACTCTTATGTGATTATGTTTCCGTGCGATGGTCAAGTCATTCTATTAATTAAAAGAATAAATATATCTAATATTAATATGGTCACTATAAAATGTTGTGACTTAACTAATTCGGTAACGATTTATGACAAAGTTGTCGGATAGATGCTTCCATAGGTAGGTAATGAATAAATTAACCGACTTGGTTTTACATTATATCTCATAGCTTTTTGCGGTAGAAGTAATGCATTGCGAGACTTGCAATTTTTTACAGTATGTTTTTGATGGGTTGTGTTTTCCCGTGGAAGCGAAAGATTTTCCCGTAGTAAAAGGTATACTAAATGTTGACTCGAATAATAAGTTATCACAACACATAATTTTAATGATATCGATTCAGTGCTTTTTGCGTGAAATGCACACATAAATTTCAATAATTATTGTTTTTAGGCCTATATCCTGTACATATATGTTACATACATTATTTATAAAACGTAATTCAAGTACAGATTTTGTTAAGTTACTATTTTTAAACGGTTTTATTTAGCTTGCCCTGTTTGTTTGGGTCAAATTAAGTAATTGAAATTTTACCTCTTTCCTGTTGACAGACTGATCTGTAATTTGGTACACAGCTTTAGTTCTGATTACGCTTAAAAGCCAAATAACAATAATTGAATTGAGGTAGTTCTGATAACAATGCAATTGAATATATTCAGTCTCATTGTACATCCAATATGGCCGCCGCCACAAAATTTAGGTGAAATACATATTTTTTCACAACCCCCTCAATATGGGTATTAAATGATAGGGCTTGACTGGTAAAATACAATGCAGTATTAAAAAAATCTAAATCCAATATGGCCGCCAACAAACTGGCCCATTACATATTTTTTACAATCCCCTCAAAAGTAGTAAATAAGTATCACATGAAAGGGAAAGTATCTAGTAGAACACACTTCACAGCGGATCAGAGTTAGTTTAAAATAAAATAAAAACTCAAAATAAAATAGGTAGAAAAACTTTTTATACATTACACGGTTTTGTTGAAAAGAAAGATAATAATGATGTAGATAATGTACTAAAAATTAAAAAATAATTAGGTAGGTCCTAGGTACCTACCAGTCATCACACCATTCTCATCATCAATCTAGGGCATTGATCAGACTCAAAAATAAAATTGTGAGGCGTTACATAATTAATCAGGTTACGCTACGCATATATACCCCTTTTTCCCCTCTTAGGGTCCGAATTAAAAAAAATCTAAAACTTGTGTATATTTACCAGTGTTGAAAAGTATTAATATTAAGTTTCTAGTAGGTACCTAACACTGATCATAAATATGTGTATATTTTTTTCCATATAAACTTTACCACCCCATTTTACCCCTTAAATAATTCATCCCAAATTTCGAAAAAACCTAATATACGAGTACCTACATGTAGGATGAACAGACAAATAAAAAGCAGCATTAATATATCAATGAACTGTTATAATTTTTAAATGCAGAGCACACCCCAATCAACTATTAGCCACAGTATATAGGTAGCCATTCCTCGAGCAAGATATATATATATATATATCCATACTAATATAAATATTATAAATGTGAAAGTGTGTTTGTTCGTCTTTCTTTCACGTGGCGTGATTTTTTGTGTGGAAATAGTTGGAGGGCTGGAGAGTGACATAGGCTTTTTACCGCGGGAGATTATCTCTTTCCCACGGAAAAACACGTTATAATACAAGCCAAAAAAATATTATCAGAATTACTTAAAACTTGGTATTAATGCTCTTCAATTAATTAAATACGTGTTTTAGCATTTTTTGGAATTCATCCCATAAGGGGGTAAATAGCGGATGAAAGTTTGTATGAAAAACTACTGCCCTCCAGACACGTATTTTGATGAAAAATTTTTTTAGAATTTTTGATAAACACGTATTTTGATGAAATTTGGTATGGTGATAGATGGTTATCCGGGTCAACATATAGGATACTTTTACCGCGGGAAAATATCTCATTTCTGAGAACAAATACAAAAACTGCAATGTAAGAGTATACTAATATGTAAAACGTAAGAATTTGTTTTTTGGTCATCTGAACGCGGGTAGAGCCGCGGGCAATGCTACTTATGTTTGGTTAATAGTACTTATGTTTGGATACTATTATTCCCTAGTCCATATATTATCTATACATATTTTTTTACTTTAAATATTAATTCTGATTTTCGTGCATTTCACATTAAAAATGACAGTTTCTGACAAACTTTCAACCCTATTATACTCCCTTAGAGTAGGTATATATATATACTTGCGCAGGGAGAGCGCTAGAGCGCGGTAGTGACGATGAATAAATGTTTTGAAGCATGATTATGTTTTTGGACGAAGTGATTCTTTGTGAATAAATAAATATGTGTTTAAAGTTTAATATTGATAAAGTTATTTAAAAAATTTAAAATTTCGACTAGAGTTCATTATGTCTAACATGTGACGCTTATTGTTCTAAAAATAATGTTTCTTCAAAGCGTGTACAACGGTTGTGTATTAGCTCGTAAAAATTGTAATATTGTTAGAATTAAATTAATAATTTTACTATATACTACCTACTTTACACTTTTTTGATAAATGAATATAAAGATTTTCCTGTAGTTAAAGGAATCTTTCTTAAAACCTCGAGTAATAAGTTATCGCTGCACAAAATTTAGTTAAAATCGATCCAGTAGGTATTTTTTACGTGAAACGCGCATACACAAACAGACAAACATTTTAATAACTATTGTTTTGGGGTCTATATTCTGTACGCAATACATATACAGTCATTGTTTTCAAGAAAATATTTCATGTACAGATTTCGCTTAGTTACTGTTTTATTATAAAGTATACAAGCTCCAAGTTCAAGGTTAAAACAATCGTCACTTACAAGTACGTGGTGCACAGATACTTTTATATAGTTTTTGTTTCTTGTAGTTCATTATTTACCTCCGACGCAAAATCGAGGGGGTGTTATAAATTTGACATGTCTGTGTGTGTCTTTCTGTGAACGGATGAACCGATTTTTATTTTGTTTTTTTTTTGTTTGAAAGGACTAATTCAGTCGGGAGTATTCTTAGCTATGTGTGATGAAAATCGGTTTAAGATGGTCGGGCTTTTCTAGTTTAATTTAGTTATGTATTTTATCCGTAATGTAAACGTACATGCTTAGTTAATAGCAGGTAGCAGGAAGCTTGTATGAGTAAGTGAAGTTGTAAAATAAATGAAGCAAGACATCGACGACCTTTATTCAATTCCACGGGTACGATGTTCATCTCGCCCAAGTAACACTGTAGATACTATAGATCTGTTTAAAACTCAACACAAAAACTGTGTGTATATGTGTGATTCACCCTCGCAGCACTTGGTACATTCCTAGGCACGTTATGACGGTTAATATGGATATCCCACGGGAACCGTAAATTTTTGCGGGATCAGAAGTAGCCCATATGCTATTCCAGACTATAATTTATCTCTGTGCCACATCTCATCCAGATAGGTTCAGTCCTTCTCGCGTGACTGAGTAACAAACATCCAACCATCCAAAGTCATTTATAATATTTATGGGATGGGATTAGCAAAGACTTTTACCGTTAATAATAAACACACTATTCATATTGGCCGCTTACCGTTTACAAACTTATTTAATGATGCAAATGAACACTAACTCAAGGCTATTTAGCGTCATACCACTGCGGGAATTGACCTCTAGAAAAGAAATACCTATTATTATTAAAATTTTATGTGATTACTAGCGGACCCGACAGACGTTGTCCTGTCTACACGTCTTTAATTTGAAAATTTCAAACTTTTTTTAATAATTTTTTTGATGAAAATTATTATTCAAATTGTGAATCTAAACCATTCCCAGATCCCCTTGAACACACACAAAAAATTTCATCAAAATCGGTCCAGTCGTTTGAGAGAAGTTCAGTGACATATAAGTACACTCACAGAAGAATTATATATATATATAATTTACAAAATGTATAAGTTATTTATATACACTTCAGAACTCTTCGAAAACTAATTACATTAAATATTTTAATTAGCAACTTCACTTGAATAACACAATTATAACACAAAATAACGAAATACTTTTTCAAATTGATCGTAGCACTATCTGTCGGGACAAACTAAAATTAAAATAGAATAATATTGAACGCGATGGTAGCGCCATCCGTCGAATCTGATGTAAAACATTCCAAAATCAAAAACTCCTTACAAATAAAAATTAATTAAAAAAACATCTGAATTCACAAAATTATTTATACACACTTCAAAACTCTTTAAAAAATAATTACATTTAATATTTTAATCAGCACATGAATTGAATAACAAATTTTTTTTCAAATTAATCGTAGCACCACCTGTCGGGACAAACTAAAATTGAAATAGAATAATATTGAATGCGATGATAGCGCCGTCCGCCGGATCTAATGTAAAACATTCCAAAATCAACAACTCCTTATAAATAAGAAATTAATTGAAAAAACATTTTCCAGTAGACCAAACTGTAAATCTAAACCATTCTCGAATCTCCACGAACACACACAAAAAATTTCATCAAAATTGGTCCAGTCGTTTAGGAGGAGTTCAGTCACATACACACGCACACAAGAAATATATATATTAAGATAAATCACACTAAATTCGTTATTTTATCGTATATTTCGATATATACGACGTGACGTATTATTTTACTGTGAATATTACTCCCACCATTTTCTAATACTGTCAATCCATGCTTAATATGAAAGTTTGTGAGGATGGATGGATATTTGTTACTTTTTTACCTGAGAACGGCTGACCGGATCTGGATGTAATTTAGCACAGAGATGGATTATAATCTGGATTGCACATAGGTTTAACTTCTTATCCCGGAAAAATATACGGTTTTCGTGGGATAAATTTGTTTTTATCTACGGATGAATACGAAGCAAAGCGAGGGTGAGTCGGTTTGTGGAGCGCTCGTTATTCTCTTTTACCAACTATACTAATTGAAACCCATGGAAACCAATTTTCTTTTTTATCTTTAAACATTTAATTGTTACTGTGCATATGCACTGCTTGTACGGATTATATTGGAGTGATGAATGAGTCGCGAATGTTTTATTGAAGTTTTTATGTTTTTTTTTAAATCTATTTAAGTCTGCTTAAACTATTTAAGATAGATTATGCAAAATCTTGAATTAACTTCACTAACGAAGGTAAAACCGGATTGAATGAAATTATTTTCATTAAATATTCTTTTTAATTATTAAATAGAACCTCTCTCCATTAGAGGACCACTTCCTTCCGTGTACACAGAGTTGCTTCGGTGCTTTGAAAGCAAGTCAGTAATATGGATCTATAAGTATTTGCGATGCTTTCGAGCTTTCTTAAATTATAACTGGCTCTAAGAAAACTGGAAAATATTTTCTGCCAATTATTTGCTATATCTTCATTGACGTTATCCTATTGAAAATACTAGATTGTCGACTGCGATGCAATTGATCGCAAGTTGAACTTTTTATCAAGACTCTATTCAAATAAAATATGAATTTATTAGATCGTTAAAAAGATTGTAGATTTATCTTATACACTCAGTACCAATTCAGTTACTTTATTCTAATTATTTTATACGTTTACTACTTAACATTACATAGACGTATGTGATACATGATTGTATGATGTCGACAGTAAACGCCGTTCTACACAGTCGTTAGTACTTTCATCAAATATCTCTGCTGTGACTCAGCGCTGACTAGACGTTGATACTGACGTCGTATTTTTTAAGAAATTAAACCTTTGACTGGTGTAAAAAAATCATAAGCCAGATTAGAGAGAACACACTCTAGAATTTTTGACTAATGTGTTACAGCCTTTAAGGTCCTCACGTACATCATCTCAATCCTATGCTCTCGTCGCGTGCCGCGGCCGCGAGCTTACGGAAATATATCAATAATATCTTGTCAACAGTGTGTTAATATACATATTCAATGTGCTGAAACGAATGTATTTTTTCATTATACACAACTCAGTTTCGAAATTAACTTTTAAAAGTAAAGACTTGAAGTTTTCAGTTTCTTTTTTTTTAAGTAGTACTTATTAAAAAGTATTTATATTTCGCTAATGCATTCGCTATTGTAGCTTGGCCTGATTCCTATAAATTAAAATGAACCATATTTTGTTTAATAAAATTAATTTAGCTACATAAAACTATTTAATTACTTGAATAGAAGGCAGCCGCGTACCAGAGCGAATACCTACGACTACTAGATAATAAAAACCCGTCAAAGGCTTTACTGGTACAGTGACAGGCTAGACTTCATAGAATTTCTTATTCTAAGCTTAATTAATTTTTATAAAATGAAATTTAACTTATATTACTTAGTTTAATGTAAAATAATAAATCTATAATGTATAGGTATATTTAATTAACTTTGTCAAGGAACAATCAAAGTATAAACTAAAAGAAACATATGACCGATTTCCGTTACGAATTGAAGGAAACATCATTTTGTAGTGTTCTTTCTACTCAAATAACAAAATTTTCGGAAGCGCGTAAAATACAGTATTATGTTTTAGCTGTTATATGCTATGAAATCGTGGGCAATTAAACTAATTATGCTGTATACACGGCAACATTAAAATTTACAAACTCATCAGCAATCAAAAAAATTACATTAGATTGACATATTTTCGTTCTGACGCTAACAACTTCATTTGTTAGAGAAGCTGTACCTTATTCTTTTAGTCTATGTAAGTGCAATTCTTCGTCTAAGTGACTCTCTCAATCCAGAAGCTTAGTGCTTGCGTTAGTGAGTTAGTCAGTCAGGACACATATTCTTGTAGATGATCAGGTAAACCCTTCTATATTTCAGAACTATAAACAGATGCCTTTTAACATAACATGTTACCTCGTTCTGCACAGCTATGATTTCGGAATAATAGCGCTCCCCTGAACCTAACTGCAGCTAAGCCGCCAATGCCATGAGATTTACCGCCTTGTACAGATGCACTTAGTACCGAATTTTAACAGCTTGCTGTAGGTGCTAATGGAATAATACATTTTGAGAACATGCAATCCAAAATTTATACTAAGTTTCGCCGTCAGGTTGTATGTCATCCACACATCCTGGATGCTTGACATCCCATAAATGTACGTACATCACGGTCATTTTTGCCTCGCACGTGCAAATTTTTACCTGAGCGTTATAATATTGGGTTCTTGAAGAGTATTTATTGTGGTGAAAATCTTGTTGAAATTGTCAGTATTGTCGACACAGAAGCCGAATCTATAGTATTTAGAGGTCTTGTCTGTCTGTCTGTGACCCTATCACGAGGAAACCACAGGACGGATTTTGATAAAATTTAGTTTGATGATAATCAGAGTCAACATATAGGATAATCTTTTGTGCGGGAAAATATCTCAACTTTGAGAAATCTATATGTGTATATATACTAAACGTTAAATCAATAAATGACTGAGAAATTAATTTAAATTTCGGCCGTTCAGAACGTGTGACGTCACGAAATACGAAATGATTCTTACAAGCGCAACATTAAAGTTTCATAACTTTTTCATTTGTTGAGATATTTTAGTAATTCTTTGATATTTTTGTTATATTTAGCTTAAATTTTTATAACAAAAAAATGGGACACTTCTCCATTGTTTGACATTTATGCGTACAAGTGAATACGTAGATACATACGTGGGTGTCTATAGTTCATAGTTTGGGTCCTAATAAAAAATCTGTAACGTATTAATCTGCATTATAAAATAAGTACGATTATAATATTTACGAATGTAACTCAATTCATGTGTAGACTTAAAGTTAAGAGCTTTTTGTTAGGGCTAAATTGATTTATTAAATCCCGGTACTGGTTCATCTAGATAGCAATTTGGCCACACACTATCGTGCAAAATCACATTATCCTTGAATTAAGTGGCGGTGAGCGTCCGTAAATTATATTAAAGTCAGTCACTTTTTAACCCTATAAGAAGGTACATCGTCTGTACACTTTTCTTACGTATGTGTTTTATTTTAAAAGATTAATGCCCAATTTCACCAACAACCCATAAGCTACCACCTACGTATGGGATCCCTAGCTTAAAAGTCCCCTAAACTAGCCCCTAAATTAAATTTCGTTTTACGATCGTCTTTAAGCCCATATTTCGAGCACCTAAATTTAGGGGGCCTTTTAATATTTAGGTGACCCCTAACTGTCGGTGAACCAGAAACTGTCCCCTAACAACCCTCTTACCGTGCTTAGGGGATCCCTTAAACTTAGGAGTCGTTGGTGAAATCGGCCATATGCCTTCTATATTACAGCAAGAGATGGGACTCACCGGCTAGAAAAGCCGAGACTACCCAGTACTCAACCAGTACTAAAATCGAACAGAACCGTCCGAAAATCGTTGGGATTTTAAAGAATAATTTACTAGCTCAGTAGGTTAAGGTTTTTTTTGGATATAGAAACTCCTACACCTAAAAATCACTTATTTTACATTAAAAACCCAAAAAGTGGTAAATATTCGTACAAACTGACAATAGTTGGAAGAATAACATATTTTTGTTCATCCGATTGTGGGACGAATAGCAACAGCTCCCTTTATTTATTATTCGTCCTATTAAAGTACGAATAATTTTTTTGCAAAAAATATTGCAAAAACTGCAATTTTTGTCAATTCTGTCGTCGACGGATTTTTGAAATCATAAGGTGTAGGTAGAATTTGATATAGGAATATAATATAGTTTGGCATAAACTTAACTTGCTAGTGATTCTAAGCTCCCCTATAAAGTGTGATAGTAGAGGCTTACAAAAGTACGCGACTTATTCCATCGAGCATGGGTATTGGGTACAGTCTTATACAACACGCTATTTGATATTTCACATATATTCAAGTTGTTTTAGTGCGTATAGTTATAATACATTTTATTTTGTTACACTTGTGTTTTATACATTTGAATATGTATTAAAAAGAGCTTTGTCCTCCAAGGCAAACCCACACATTATTTCGATTTGTAACGCGCCGAACTTGCGTTCTCGTATGAAACTAATTCATAAATAGCTAAATTGACGATTAGAAATGGATTGATACGAGTATGTCTTTCTCGCACTTTTTTACAATCTTTATCTTAATCAACTTCAAAAGTATAATGTAATAAATAATTAGTAATTCAGATAGATATGATTTTTCTACTACTTCATTTTAGAATTATTTCAAGAATTGAAAATAAGCTTTAATAAAATTAAGGATGGCGGTTAATGGTTGACCTATTCAGGCAGGTTTTATATTATTCCTAATGGCTGGTATAAACGTTAGAAAGTCGACAATGCACTTACACAGAGCTCGTGACATATCGCGTGCTGATCGCAGTTACCTTCATGACATTTATTATTTACTCCAATTTCTAAATATTACAGATTGCTCGCTAATAGCTATCCATGGAATTTGTTTAAACTCAAAACACAATTTCGACAACATTTATACATTTTAATTACTTCCTCACACTGAGCTAAAAACTGGAGTGCAACGTGGCCTCGTACCGCCGCGGCGTAGTTGGCACTGATTTTTACACCCAATGAATGTACATGTAATAGATTTTATAAGAACCGTGTATTTTTCCGGGACAATTTTGGCCATTTTTGATCCCCTATGTAAGAGCACATAAGGTCTCCCGTACTCCCCCTCACAATTTGACGTAAATCAAGGATTTTCATTTGTGTAATTAATAATTAGCTTAGAAATGACTATTTTCTATCATAATTTTTATTAGTTAAGTAATCCCTAATAGTAATAACTTTTATTTATTTTCTACATAAATAAAGAGACGTTTAAATTTATTAGAAGAAAGCCGAATACTTGGAAACAACACCTCATAGTAAAATGAAATCGCTTGAATATTGGAAAATAAATAAAAAACACTTTTTAACTAAAATGTACACCTGACTACAGTCCCTTAAAACGTAATTATACCTACCTCGGTAGGTGTGCTTGAAGTTTTGTATTACTTCTCTTCTTTGATATATATAGGAAACTAGCGACTCACCCATGCTCAGCTCGGGTTTGTCCCTACTTACGATTTAACGTTTTGTATAGATTTCTCAGAGAGAAACCCGCTAACATCAAACGAAATTTCATCAAAATCTGTACAGTGGTTCAGTTCAGATTCGACTGAGAATTTTATTATATGTATAGATATAGGATTATATGATAGTTTATATCATAATATATTTTATATTAATTATTGCCCTTGGCTTCGCTACAACCCACAATGTAAGTTATGAAATTTCGAATGAAATCTTATAAGTATTTCTTTTGTTTCAGTCAACCCGAACAGAGAGGATAAGAAAATCGAACTAGGATTGAGTCAACATGATTCAGTGAGTCTAAGCTTTTATACTTTATTATAAACTAGTTTTTATCTGTGGCTTTGTTCGCATAGTACGATGGGGACATGGGCCGTAGGTAGTCTTTGACACTTTCTGAAATCTGTTCTGTAAAACAACCTAAGAGTGAAAAGGTAACAGACAGACAGAGTTACTTTCCCATTTATAATATTAGTGTGGATAATATGACTAAACGTTTTAATTTGGATAATTTTAAAGTTTATAATTTGGTTCATTATGATATTTTTAATGAATATTTCGAGTTAACTTTAGTAATGGAAGAGTAACTCCAGATGATACATCACATTCATATTCATTCTATATAATTTGCATTTCCCTATGATACAACCTAATTTATCGAGTGAACGAAGAAATCAGCTATTTTTAACCGACTAAATAAAAAGAGGAGGTTCTCATTTCGACACGTATATTTTTTTATGTTACGCGCAATATATTATACCATACTATATATATACGCAATATATATACACATAACTTTTTACAGTTTTTTTATTGGATAGGGTATATATGTATATACCTCAAAGTTGGTCCTATTTAAATTGGAAAAAAACCCATCCTAAGTATACAAAATAAAGCAGGATTGATTTTTCAACTACTGAACTTTTAAAATACTTTCTTCTTACTTTGCTACTACTATGTCTACACTAAAAATGGAAAAGTAAAAACTTTTTGAAAAGGATAAAAACCGACTTCAAAAAAAACACTAAAAAGTAAAAAACTTTTCATTTACTATTAATCACAAGTATCAGTTATCACGGTCCTCATCTAAATTTCTATCAACAGTCATCCGCTCATTTTATTGTAAATGCTATTTACATATTTACTCAGGTTACGCTACGCCTATGTTATAATATACTAATCGTAGTTAGTGAGACGAGAAATAAGAAATACAAGTAGGCTGTGGTAATTATCGCTTTCCTTATGTTCTAACAGGAGAGGAACGTAGGATTACGTGCACATTATTTGGTTTCATTTTTTATTTATTTTCAATTAGCAGACCGCCTTGGATTGCTCAAGTATACATATAAATAAGTAAATAAATATTTTGGACATGAACACACAGAACTATCTAGTTCCTTGGTAAGCTACAAGGTTTGTGTTATAAATACCAGATAAATGATACACTACAAATATATAACTTTAACTACATACATATTATAAATATAAACACCCATGACTGGAGTACAAACATTCGTGCTCATCACACAAATGAATGGTTCTGGCGGGACTCGAACCCGCGACTGCTAGCACAGCAAGGGTCACTATAAACTGAGCCAAACATGTCTTCTTATGTATATACAAGTATATATGATTTGAGAATCTTTTGTTGTTATAAATAAGATTTATGAGGCAAAGCTTTTTATATATGCTTATAATCCATACTTCCATACTAATATTATAAATGTGAAAGTGTGTTTGTTTGTTTGTCCTTCTTTCACGTCTAAACAGAGTGACGGATTGGCGTATTTTTTTGTATGGGGATGGCTGGAGAGTGACATAAGCTTCTTTTTACCGCGGGAGGTTATCTAATTCTCGCGGGAAAACACGTTATAATACAATCCAAAAAATATTTATGATCAGAATTAAAACTTGGTAATTATGCTCTTCAATACAATTAAATAAATACGTGTTTTAGCATTTTTCGAAATTCATCCCTAAGGGGGTAATATAAGGGGATGAAAGTTTGTATGAAACCTACCTTTTTAAGTCTTTTTTATAGTTTTAGCGCGAGCGAAGCCGCAGGTTCTGCTAGTGATATAATATAAGTAACAGCACTTTATTTCTCAATGCTATTTACGTAACTTTAAGTACACTTATTTCCTTTAAAATGTGCCAGCATTAAGCTACTGGCGTGGGGCAGCACAGATATGACAATGCTGTTCCCAGTACGATTGTCACTGGTCTAAGCAGAGACTTTGACTTTAAGCTCTAACTAAGTGAAGCAAACTTTTCACAGATGTCCGCAGAACATTGCCCCTTGGTGCGCGAGACCGCCGCTGATATCGATACAATGGCCATCTACCCTACGTTTGACTTTCAGGTAAGAATTGTTGCTTCGTTGTACCTATTGATAGGCTCAACTTACAGTTCTTTTTTTGTTAATACATATTATGTGTACATCATGTACATATTTACGTACAATCTAAAATTTTAGGGCACTTAACAATACATGTTACATGCATACACATGATTTCATTCAAAAAACTTCCATGTTGCATTACTTAGAGAAATTAAAACTTAGTTAAAAGTTTATGTTAGGTTTAAAGAAATATTTTCTATCGTTCATATAATATATTAATGGTAAAAGAAAAGCATCTTCAATTTTACTTTAAAACAATTTGTTATTAATATAAACTGACACTGATACGTCTGAGAAGGAAAGTTGTTTATAATAATGTCTTGTCAGAAATCTCATTATCTTATCAATAGTTGGTCTAGTGTGGTTACGGAAATGACCTAGCTCCCTGCCTACACCCTTGCAACCTACGTTAATCCATAACACTCACACGTTGCATCCTGTTAATTGAATTGAAAATGTATAGTGTTTGATTACCATGAGATTGGGATGCTGATTAACATCGACAGGAGCACAAAGGCACACTAGTACTACGACACACTAGAGCTGTGGGGCTCGGATTGGTTATAGAACGATAAATGAATCCGCAATACAAACGCGACTGCCTTCTGAGCGCCTTTGATATCAAATCACATCACGTCATTAATTTATACACCGGACGGATGGATGTCTTTCTGTGAATAGCAGCTCAGTTGCACAGTTTATACCTTACAGTCGCTTTTATATCAAGCAAACTAGAAATGTATCCTTTAAGATCTAAAGCTTGTTTGTTGTTTGTTTGTTGACATCCGCGATCTTCATTAAATGGCGTCTATTGACTCTAAGATTGCAAATATTTTTTATAGAACTTCTGAAAACATATTGTCTTCACACAGTAATATTTTGAGACGCAATTTTTTACATGCCTATTTTTTTTCGTAATATCTTAAACGTGTAATTTAATTATAAACTACCTCTTCATGATACAAAGCTTTGTTAAATTGTAACAGTTTAATACATGTAGGGTCATAAAGGTGTACCATTTTGAAACCCGCACTGCTTCCGAACAGCATGCGGGAGTATTGCGCGAGTAGCGGGGTTTAGTAGATCGTTCTCGGAAATTTAGTCACGATGTAGCGTTTGATTGGAGAGCAGCGTGCGTTCTGTGTAAATTCTAACTTCAAAAAGAGCGATTTGTACACTGTTACGCGGTGTCTATGTCACCCTGAATTTAATTTACATTATCTTAAGCAATTTCCCAATAAAATTGTGATAAGATCGTGGATCAGAAACTTTGAAGCTACAGGTTTCGCGCTTAATCAGAAACCTGCGGAACGGCCAGGGTCGAAACGAGTAAAGGAAACTGTAAGAAAAGTCATTTGTCATCTCGGAAAAGATCAGCAGAGCTCGCTATATCGAGATCATCTTTGCGGCGAATTTTGGTTAAAGATCTGAAATTGCATCCTTATAAACTTCAATTAGTGCAAGAATTGAAACCAAATGATCACAATTTACGCCATGTTAAGAATGTTGGGCTCACTTTCAAAATTTTAACAATATTCTCTTTTCGGACGAAGCGCATTTTTACCTAAGTGGTTATTGTTTTACCTTAATAGTAGGATGTAATAGAAGTAAATAATTTGCAACGCGTGTGTTCCGCGCAATGCCCGAGAGGATATTGCATATTAACTAGACACATATATACATATAATAAAATTCTGAGTCGAATCTGTACATTAAATATTTTTTGGAAAATCTAATTGAAATAGTCATTATTACCGATACAGAGGCCGAATCTATTGTTTTTAGAATTTTTGTCTGTCTGTCTGTCACGAGTAACGAGAAAATCACGAGAAAATCACTGGACAGATTTTGATTAAATTTGGTATGATGATAGCTGGCTATCCGGGTCAACATATAGGATACTTTTTAGCCTGGGAAAATATCTCATTTCTGAGAAAAAATACAAAAACTGGATTATAAGAGTATACTGATATGTAAAACCTAAGAATTTGGTTTTTGGTCATCTGAACGCGGGTGGAGCCGCGGGAAATGCTAGTATCTAATAAAACTGTAACGGGATTCAAGTTGTTAATTTGTTTTTAAAATTGTGTTAAGAAGATATTTAGGATGCAACATTCTTGGTGCATTATTCTCTGATCACTCGACATCACTCAAATTTTTATTTGACCACTGAATTTCCATTATTATTATTCAAAAATTTACGAATCACGTCTGAATTGAAAACTAGTCAAAATACATCACATCCTTTAATAAAATACTTATTACTGGTATTATGAAAATGTGTACTGAGAATAACAAACATGTGAAGATTTATTTGCATTATTAGAACACTATATGGACTTATATGTTATCTAGGGGATTGTTATAGAATTTATTGTACTTTACTCTCGCGTATAGTGTAGATGCAGCTTCCTACATACATCAGTAGGTACTAATAATATTTCTTTCATTAACTGGGCTCGCAGCGGTCGCGGCACAGGCGGGCTTTAATTGACTTCGCAGAGAACACCTGCGCTTTAAAAATACAACACGGTCACATTATACTGCTCAATTAAAATTTAACTATTAAAATTGAGCACTATAAACTTGCAAACGATGATATTGTTAATGCCCTTTCACGGGTCACCGTTTTATCTATATATTAATTTAATAATTACAATGATTATTCATTAAAAACTCACGTTTACACTTTTATTTTTGGCTCTTAAATTGTGGAGTGCTGAAACTTTACGATTAATATAAATAAATGAGCATCATGCGTGGTAAATTTTGTTTAATAATAGAGAGATAATTAACCTTAGCAGATAATATGTAGTTAATTCAATCGTTTCCTGAGGCGTACTTCTGGGCGAAGCCTCGTGTAGTTATTACATAATAAATATTAGAAGAACAAAGTGGCTTAAATTGTCCGATAAAATTCTTTATAATTGTATGTAATGATTTGTGTCAGGCAGCACTGTAATGATAAGTGGCACCATAAAGCAGTGCTAATACAATATACGTTAATTGATCGGAGAAGTAGATTGACTGTAATTGAGTTAAGATTTCTAACTCAAGCGGTACTTGCTGCGAAGGAAAATAATATTATTGCTATTTTAAGAAAAACCGATTAACGACTCTTCTATATTCTTGAAGTACTTTCTAACAATGATTAAAAAAGACTTCGTCTTGACTTGTTAGTTTCTCTGCTTGACGATAAAAAAATATATTTTCTTTTTAAATAGATTTATGCTTGAAGCAATATGGATATCGTTTGCAGATACTATTCAAGTTGACTTATTGCCAAGTTGTTAGTCGAAGCACTTCTATTATAACTTATAAGATATCTTAAACATAAACCAGTAAACAGGAAATATATTACTACTAAAATAAACATAGCCCATTATGTGTAACATCGATCGATTTTTGATGGTGCATCTTAAGATTAAAAATTAATTCGAAAGTGTTTTACTAGAACTTATTCTGTATGTGATTTTGTCTCGGAGGCGAACACTTATTTATGTACGCTTAATTTTAAAGTGTCACCAGCCAGCTGCCTTCGCTTCTTTAAGAACTTAATTGAATAAGCGTATAAGCACTAGTATATACTAAAATGCATCCATATTTGTTTCACTTACGGAAATTTTAAATTAGATCACTTGGACTGAGGTGTTGAAGCGTGAACATGTAACGAACCAATAAACTAATTTCACCTTTATTGTATTAGGAATTAGGATGGACAAGTGTTGTCCAATTATGTATCCCCTGTGATTTGAGACTAAGTAGAAGGGAGATGTTGGGTCAATTGAAACAAATCACAAGTGTATCATTAAAGGCTACGATTTAAATGGTATTTAATATTGAGGTTTTGGTTTTGTAGCTGATACAAAATGTTTTCTGCTAGCAAATAGTGGTTAGCAAATATAATAAAATTGGTCAACTAAAACGTCATTGGCATCTTTAATAATAGTTTCATCTAATATATTTACATATAACAAAATTCTAACTGAATTCGATCTGTACATTAAATATTTTTTGGAAGATTTTATTAAAATGGACATTAATATCGATATAGAGACCGAATCGATAGTTCTATAGAATTCGATTGATTTAATTTACATTTTCTTTAGCTGTTAATTTAACTTAAGCTTGCTTTATATTAACTGATTATAAAATGACCCTGTGAGTAGTTAGAGTTTCTGAGTAAAACACCTAATGTTCGTACCATAACAACGTATTATACACGTACACACATCTATATCTATCTATAGATACATATAATAAAATTCTGAGCCGAATCTGTACATTAAATATTTTTGAACATTCATTGAAAGAATCATTAGTATCGATACAGGTGTCAAATCTATGTTTGTAGAATTTTTGTCTGTCCTGTGATCATACCATCATAATAACCTGGGCGCATGCGGTGTTGGACCTCTGATATTTTTATGTGTGAATCATTTCTAACATGATTATCACGCTTATCACGCCTCGTGGTGAAGTAAAATATCGTGAGGAAACCTGCATGTCTGAGAGAACCTAGTAAGTTTTCGAAAGACGTGTGAAGTACGCCAACCCGCACTTGGCCAGCGTGGTGTACTATGGCGTGATCCCTTCGTATTGAAGGAAGGCCAGTGCCCAGCAGTGGAACGTTAAAAGAAGGCTGAATACAATACAAGATTATAACATCTCATTCGCATGAAAAGGTAAAAGTCTATGTGTAATCTAAGATACGAGTATTACACTCACAAAGTGATCACAGGATTTTGTTTTGTGATACTTTCGTATAAATGGATAATCGTTTTTATCGGTTGATTGTTGTACTCAATCAAACGCAAACGCTATTCGGATACGTTTTATAGGTTTCCATTATATTTTACTCAATTGTTTTAATGCGAATCATGCCATTTAAATAGGTAAAAGCGTTTGGTAGCGCTGACCAGTGTCCAGTTATATTATCCTCGCCGCGGATAGTGGCCGCG